CCATACCTCTATGTGCTACACACCCTAATAGGGTCATCCATGAAGGTTGAAGGGGCAGGACAGAGGCTGCTGATAGATGAACGTTGTTGATGCATCTATCCATCATTGTCCACAGAGCAGAGGCAAAGGAACATACAAGGCTGCTGTAGCTTAATTATGCACCTAACTTCCTGTTTATGGGCATAGTGCCTTCATTTAAGCTTGAAAATGTGGGGTTCAGCACATGAATACAAGTGTATTTCTCATATCAGGCCACAGAAGAGGAACAGCACAGCCACCAGCAGTGCAAATATCCCTACCCTGCCCTATCAGAGTGTCTTGACCCTTGCCTTGAAGTACCATGTCTAGAAGTGGAAAGATCCTTCATTCTGCATTTGCATTGGATCCCTGGCCTTTTTGCTGAGATGGCCAAAAATGAAGTCCTGTCCACTCTAGACAAAATTGCGGCAGTGTAATTACATTGATATAAAGTGGAATTTATGCCAGCGTGACCAAGGGTGTATCAACAATGGAGCTGGAAGAGACATATCCACACTAGCTCTGACTGAGCAAAACACACTAAAAATAGCTCTGGTGGAAATTTTTGTCTAGTCCTAGAAGTGACCTTAATGCCAGTTGTGGTGGTGGGGCTGGTGTTACACAGGAGACTACAGCTTACCCGCGTCCCTTGCCCCTGGCTTGGTGTATTGAACAGGCCCATCAGTGTGTGGAAGACCTGTGGACATTCATTGCCTCATTCCTCTAGTTACCAGGTCAGTGGCGAAGACCACAGTGGTTTCTATGGTGGACAAGAGTATTACACTTTACAAGGGCATAGGAAGTAGGTGCAGGCATAGCAGTAATCTATTACCATATAGGGCACATGACATGATCTCATGCTGATGGCCACAGATTGCATCCTAATCCCTGGCAGTCATAGAATCATAGAATACTAGAACTGGAAGGGACCTCAATAAATCATCAAGTCCAGTCCTTTGTCCTCATGGCAGGACCAAGCACGGTCTAGACCATCCCTGATAGATGTCTATCTAACCTGCTCTTAAATATCTCCAGTGATGGAGCTTCCACAACCTCCCTAGGCAATTTATTCCAGTGTTTAACAACCCTGACCATTAGGAACTTTTTCCTAATGTCCAACCTAAACCTCCCTTGCTGCAATTTAAGCCCATTGCTTCTCATGACTGCGTGACTCTGGAACACAGACGAACAGGTGAGAGAACATGGATGAGTAAATTCAAACCGTCACCACTAAGAACAATTCATGCATGTGTTCCAATGACTGAGGAAAGCCCTGCAGTGATGGGTGAGTGCGGAAGCAACAGGCGCGGTGATACTGGTCGCCATAGTCTCAGCTCTGCAGGTAGGCAGCTCACAGCATGAATTATAGAACGTTAGGACTTGATGTGACCACCCTACTGGAGGCTTCCATCAGGAGCTGAGCTGCCCCAGGAAAACAGGTTCTGGTACATGTGGGGGAAATGCCATTTCTTTTCTGTGGGCTGGGGAAATAGGTTCTGGGATGTACCACCACAAAAAAAGCACTGCCTCTAGGCAGCACATATTGGGGAAGGGACTTTGCACACTCCCCCATGAAGTGGGGGAGCACGGGAGATCTCTCCTCCCACTCTGCTAGGGGTGCACGGCATCCATAGGCAACTGCCAGACATTTTAAACAGCTATTGGTTCCCTTTGGTGCCATGTACCCCTTTGCACACTTCCCCGCCCTCAGGTCCTGATTGGCCTAAGGGAGGAGGAGTGCGCGAAGTCTCCTGCCCTCACTCAACTGGGGTATATAGTACCTAGAAGGAACTGCCAGTGATTTTGAATGGCTGGCAATTCCCTCAGGTGCCACATGTCCCTGGCAGGGGGAGGAGACTTCACATATTTCCCTGCCCCTAGGTCTCGATTGGCCTGGAGATGGCAGTGTAGCAGGGCAGGACATGGGCTGGATCAAATGGCTTGGCAAGCTGGATCTTTCCCATCCCTTGTCTACACCCTGTCACTGATTCTCCACAGCCCACCTGCAACCCATTTCACAGCATCATGTTCTCTTCATGGCTTGGCCCTCTGGTTATGTCACTATCCAATGTTTCCCCCTTTTGGGGCAGTTTAGCTTCTAGTCTACTAACTTCCCCAGTGGCACTGTGGGGACCCAATGCCCACCCACTAGTGCATGTTCCTGCCTGGATCACAGCCTCCTGTTGTACTGTCCAAGGTGCTATCCAGGGCTCTCCACCTGCTGGAGACAGACTTCAATTCTTGAACCCCCAGCAGCAACTGAACCTGCTCTGCAGCTCTTCTTACATGGATTTCCTGGGCCCTGATTAGCTGCTCTCCGTGGCCTCTTTCCTATTGGCTGCTCCATGTACAACCTCCCTAGCACTCTATTAACTCCTTGCTTTCCAGTGTGGGGCAGATACCCCATCATTCAAGCAGAGCTCTGTAATAGCAGGGCTATGCGGACTATCATGAGAATAAGGACTTCCAGGCTTCTTTGGAATACCTATGTCGCCAGAGCCATGTAGATTAGTTTACTAGACATACCCAAATGAAGCGGTGATTTAAATAATCGCTGCTTCATTTAAATTAAAATGGCGGCCGCACTGAGTCGGTCAGCTGTTTGTTGGCTCAGCGCGCTAGTCTGGATGCTCCGCAGTCGACATCAAAGGCATTTGTCGACCGCCCTGTTATGCCTCGTGGGATGAGGTTTACCGGGGTGGTCGACAAATGCCTTTGATGTCAACTGTGTAGCCAGACTAGCGCGCTGAGTCAACAAACAGCTGATCTGCTCAGCGCGGCAGCCATTTTAATTTAAATTAAGCAGCGATTATTTAAATCGCCGCTTCATTTGGGTATGTCTAGTAAACTAATCTACATGGCTCTGGCGACAGAGCCATGTAGTCTAGACATACCCATACTGTCTACAACTGCCTAACACTGATCACTGACAAAGGAGAAATCCTTCAGAGGTTATGACATAATTTCAGTGATCTTTCAATACCCCACCAACATCACAGATGAGGCACTAATAAGAGTAGTGGCTGAACTATTATGTAATGACAAATATCCACTGGCCCACTCCTGGATAAAATCACTATTCTGCAATTAGTGCTATGAAGATCTGCAGGGTTCATGTGTCTGATGGCATTCCTTCAGAACTATTCAAGTATGAAGGCAAGACCCTGCTGAGGCTACTGCATGAATTATTTCTCAGCCTCCAGGGTACTAAGGATATACCATGAGATTCTGAACACACAACCATTGTCACAATAGACAGGAGGAAACGTGAAAAGTCAGACTGTGCTAACTATTGCAGTATCTCATTACTCTCCATTGTTTGAAAGGTTCTGACCAGAGTGTTTTTTGATTGCCTACTGTGCAACATCACTAACAGCACACTACCGGAGTGTCAATGCAGTTTTAGTTGCAAATGAAACAATTGGCAGGCATGGTATTTGTAGCCCATCAGAGTCAGGAGAACAGCAACAAGACCTTTATTGATCTGGCCGCTAAAGCATTTGACACAGTTAGTAGACATGGAATTTGGCAATTATTATGGAAGTTAGGTTGTCCAAATAATCACCACCAACATCCGGAGGCTATTTTACAATGGAATGCTCAGATGAGTCTGTACGGACAAGGTTTTCTCTCACCTGTTTTCTATCACTAATGATATTAAGCAGAGCTCCATAATTGGTCCACTTTTGTTCAGTCTCTTTTATTCAGCAGTGCCTAGTGATGCCAATAGAGACCTGTATCAGGATACATTTCTGAGCCTTTGGAAAGTTGTTTAATCTGAACAGCTGTATGCCAATGGCTGTGCTCTAGAAGCACATATTCTAGAAGAAATACAATTAATTATGGACAGACTTGCAGAGTTTGCAGAAATATATGGACCAAAAAGCAATCGGGGGGGAGGGGGAGGGAAGGGGCGGAGGAGGGGGGTAGAAGTCTAGAAGTCATGCATCCACCTGAGCCTGGAAACCCTACATGAAACCAAAAGTCACCATCAGCAACACACAGCTGAATGCTGTTGCAGACCTCTGTTACCTTGGCAGTATTGTATATTGTCAAATGATCTTACAAAACCAGTTCATCAAAACCAGTTTACCATGTGTACGCAGTGTAGCTATAGCTGTTTTGAACACAGGCTGTTAGAGAGACAAGGTAGGTATGGGTGCCACTCAGAAGCTTATTTCTTTCATTGGTGGAAGTGGGTCCAATAAAAGATATTACCTCACCCACCTTGTCTCAGTTCATTGTTTGGTATCTGTCAGACAGTCTGGCAGCAATAAGGCAGTAAGCTTCAAACTAAGTTAAAAATCTAGGGTATGTCTACACTAGCCCCCTAGTTTGGACTAGGGAGGCTAATGTAGGCATTCAAAGTTGCAAATCAAGACCTTGCAGGAGGAATAACAGGTAGTTCGATTTAGGGCTTTAATTCGAAATACCGGGTCCCTGCCACATGTAGATGTGGGCAGTTAGTATGGACTTGTAAATTTCAAAAAGTGGTGACCAGCTGGGAAGATGCAAATCAAGCGTGGGATATTTAAATCCCGGTCTTGATTTGCAACTTCGAATGCCTACATTAGCCTCCCTAGTTCAAACTAGGGGGCTATTGTAGACATACCCTTGTAAAGTGGTTGAGCTCTCCAGCTCGTGGCATGTCTGAGAGACCTGGACTGAGTGCAGGTTTCACATTAAGCTGCTAGGGAAGAGATTGTGTCATCCTTTTCATTTAGCACCAGAGCTGTGTGACTAGTAGATTGTTTTGGTTCACTGGACACTCTGAAAAGTAAAAAATGTTCATATTTTGGTAATGTGAAAGGTGCCAACCCCACACAGGACTGCAAAGGGTTCAGATGTCCTATTAACTCCACAGGCTGTGCCTGGAGGGAGAGCTAGGGAGCAGGAAACTGATTGGAAGCAGGTTCAGCTGTGTAGGAGCAGGAGGGGTCTGTATAAAGTTTTGTGCACTGCAAGGGACTGCTGGGAAGTCTGTTGAAAGCAGTCACTCTGTGGGAGGAGAGTTTGGAGCTGGTACACAGAAAGGTAGGGAATCAGAGTGGTAGGAAGTAGTCAAGGGAGAAAGCAGTGAGGGAAGAATGGAAAATCCAGAGCTGCTGGATTGAGGGTTCCTGGACTGGAAGCCAGTGCAGAGGGTGGCCCTGGGTTTTCCCCCCTGCCAGTTAGGGAGTGGCACCATGAGGCAGGGAGATGAAAGACTGCTAGGGAAATGGAATTTGGCTCCCTCTGAAGCAGGGAGCAATGAATGACCATGGCTGGAAAATGAGTCACAAAGAGGAATTTGAGGTTACTGGCACAATAGGGAGTTGCAGAGGAGAGGGATAGACAAAGTGATGGTTTGAAAACCATGAAAGGGGGCATTAACATCATGAGCAAATCCCCAGAGTGACATGGTAGAGGTGCCAAAGCAGCAGTGAGTGACACCCTGCAACAGGTCAAATAAAATATTTTTATTTTGATTGAGCCTTTTTAACTTTTAAAAATAAAATTTTTAAAAAATTGAAATGAAAAGGTTTTTCAGATCAACACATTTAATTTTAAAAAAGTCAACATGTACCCATTGATTTTCTGAGTTCTTGAAACAACTGAAACAATTTGGTGAAATCAACATGAATTTGCAAGCTGTTTTGGTACCATAAAATTCCCATATATTTTTGCCTGAAAAAAGTTTTGGCTGAAAGTTTTGCCCAGCTCTAACTACTGTACTACCCTAGCACTTCCTAATTTGTCCACTGTGGGGTTCTTTGTACTTTCATCTGGAGCTTTTGGTACTAGCTGCTGGTGGGGAGAGGATGCTGGTGTATATGTACCATAGGCTGGATTTTCTATGCCGTTCCTGTATGCACAATAATGGCTCCAGCTGTAAGCCTGTGAAGGAGCATTAGTGGAGACTCTCGTCATTCATTTTGCTTCTCTTTTTGCACAGCTCTTGAGCCTGTCTCCCCAGCCCTTCCTGTGCCACCTTACTGCAGATTTGGTTGCTTATGGCTGGTAAGCAATGCCATGGACATGGTATGTGTAATTGCATATTTATCTGTGCTACATGCCACATGAGTCATGCTTTTCTGGGGAGTGGGAAAGGGGAGGCAGTAAGGAATACCAGTATGTCTTGATTTTCCTGATCTTATCTATGGATATGTGTGTGTGTGTGTTCATAAGGGAAAGACCTAAGCTATGATAGACCCTAAGCCCTTTGAATTGCTTCAGGAGCATTGCTCTATGGCTCTGAGGGCTTGGGGGGGTAGGGGTGCTATTATCTGGGAAGAGCTAAAGGCAGAATACCCTCAGTCCTGGCTGTTCTGCCCTTGGCCCCGCCTCTTCTTGGAGCACAGAGTTGGGCTCCTCCACACCTTGCCCCGGAGCTCACAGTGGCTGTCTGACCTAGTGGTCCTGTGGTTCCCTAAAGACTTACACATTGATTTAGGGTTGCCCGGTGTCCGGTATTGAATGGTATTTGCGCCTTCTGTCTGGTAAAGAAATTGAGAAAATTCTGGACGTCTAAAATGTCTGGTATTTTCTGCTTTTCCTGGTTTGGAGCCCACTGGACATGCGGTGGGGGTGCGGAACGTGGCTGCGGAGTGGCATTTCAGCCTTTTTTTTTTTTTGCTCAACAAACATTTTCCTGGTGCTTTTTTGGGGGTGGGGTGGGGAGGGGAGGGTGTCTGGTATTTTTGGTGAAACCATCTGGCAACCTTACATTTATTTGGGAATAAGCTTTCATAGGCTGGAGCAACTGGCAAAGTAGATTCCAGCCCACAAAAGCATACACCCAAATACATTTCTTAGTGTGTTCCACAGGACTCCTTTTATACAATTGGTGCTCATCTTCTTTTGTGGTTGTCATCCACTTCCTGTGGAAAAAGGGGGCATGTCCAATCGGAGTAGGACAGAAAATGTAGGGGGTTTGGGGTTTGGGGTTTTTTTTAGCTTTGATGCATGGGTTCTGATAATGTCTTGGAACATTTATATATTGCCAGGAACTGAGGTGATTGGGGTGCACTTTTGCTCATCCCTACTGAATAACACTGCTGCACATAAGTGCAAGCTTTGTATTTTTCTTTCCTTGATGGAGGATAGAAGGGGCTACTTTAGCTATCTCTGCTCTGCCATGGGAGGGATGCAGTTTGCTTCACAAACACGAAGGTGGTGCTGACAAAGCCCAGGCGTGCTAGTGATATTGAGGCTTATGAGACAGACAGAAGCCTGTGCTTAAAGAAACCGGGTCCCTCTAGCGTTATTACTTCTTGAGCAAGCCCAGGCTATGGGACCAACTGACAACAACCACTTAAAGGCCTCCAAACAGCTCCAACTGCTCAAAGCTTGCTCAAGTGTCTGAATCCATCCCTCCTTCTCTGTCTTCGTCAATGTCCTTGGGATGAAATTATTTACCATGCTAAGCATCTATGAGCTAATGTGGGGCTTAGTATTTCAAACCCAAGCTGTTTCCTTGCGGTCAGTGGGGCTACTTGCATGAGTAAGGGGTTTTGGACTCGAGTCCCTTGATGTGCCCACTGTGCACATTATCAAAGCATGTGCCTCTTTTCTTCAGTCACACTTCCAATCCTTTCTGAATATCCCCTCGTTCTGCTTTGCGACCTGGCTCCACCTCTCATGTGCTTGGGTGCTGCCAGCACCTCAAACTTAGGCAGCCAGTAATGTTTCTTTTCTTTCTCTTTGCTTGTCCATTCATTCAACAGGTATATTTATGAGATCACATACCTGCCATGCAACATTTCACCAGTAAGTATTAGGAAGGGTTTCCTGTGCTCCTGTCTGGCTGTCTTTCTCTCTCACCAGCTATTTCTTTAACATGGTTTCAGAAGGCTGCCCGGAAGCCTGCTAGAGAGTAAAGGTGTTATTTCAAAGGATCAGTTTTGATAGTACTGTACAACTGCTAGTGAATTTTACTGCATCATTTAAGCAAACTGAGCTCTAGCTGGAATAAAGATGTAGGGGTTGGCAGGGACCCAACGGATATGGAAAGCGTGAGCTCATGAAAAAAGCTTTCTCTTTGACTCCATCTATGCTTGAGCGGGGGAGGGGAGAGGAGGGTGTGATTCCCAGCTGACATTGATGAACTTGTGCTTGTGCTCAATGCTGTAACTAGGTATCTTTGTGCCCGGGGCAAAGTATTAATTATGCGCCCCCTCTCCTCAGGTTAGCATGCGTCGCGCTCTTTACTTTGACACATTATTATTTTTACTTATTGCAACTTTGCACCCCTCATTATGATGTGCCCCGGGGTGATGGCCCCGCCTGCCCTGCTCTTGTTATGGCTCTGCTTGTGCTGCTTGAATGGCTGCGGTAAAAACAGGGGTGAGGCTGGGGGTAGCCCCATGCTCTATTAAAGCACTAGCTCAAGCAGAGCGAGTGAGCACACAGCTATGCAAGCTGGGAATCACTCCCTATCAGTTCCAAGTGTAGTCCTAGCATTTGTTCAGATTCTCCGGCTTGTGGCTCATCTCCTGTGTCATTGCTATGGCAAAGTCAGAGATAACTGTGGTGATGTTCTTGAGGATTTCCTTTATGTCTAGATTGTTAGTTTCACCCATTGCTATGATGTGTTGAACTTGTCAGGCGCTGCTGCTGTATAGACTTCTTTAGTCTGACTATACCTTACCCCAACGCTTTGTTTTTTAGAACAATAAAAAGCAGGAGCAGAGCTAAGAACTTTTGTCAGACACCTAAAAACTCCAGTCTTTTGCTACAAGAGAAATCACAACATTGAAGATCATGGTCCCCATGTGGGAGGAAAAAGGGTACACTTTATTGGGGCCAACAGGCTCTGGGGGGTCCAGCCCACGCTGCAAATTGTGGTATGTGTATAGAAGGGGGCCCATGTTACAAGTTTGTACTGGGTCTGAAAAAAATTATGCTTAGGCCCTGTTGAAGATAGTGAATAAAAGTAAGTAATTCACAAGATACCAATTAGGTCTGGTAAAAAAGCAGGACACATTGTGTGAATTTTATGAAAATGTCCTTTTTTTTATTAAAAGTTTCAAAATTTGAAATTTTTCACTAGTCCTCATACCAATCTAACAACTTTCCCGAGCGGTAACATTCCCGTACACCAGCGTACATGCATGTCTCCACAGCCACACAATTCAGTCCTTTTAACACAAATACGTTTTCCATCCACCAGACCATATGAGAATCCATCTGCCCTCCCCTGCCTGGAAACATGTTACATTTCCCCCCTACATTTAGAAACTGAATGCACAAATGATTCATGTGCAAGTATGTGGGTGGCCCCTAAAGGTAAATGCATGTACATATTTTCCAAACCAAAAATGTGTGTCTGCTTAAAAGCAGCATAAATGAACTTCCACACAACTCTCTGGAGACCTTTATACAATGCTTTTATTCTCTCAAGCAGCATGCCAAGCCAAGTGCTCAGGGTGAAAGATGCAAGGAGGGTTTAGAACAGAATAGTTTGGCAGAAATTTGGAGGGATGGGGAGATGTTCAGTTATGGACCCCCAAGGGAAATGGCAAGTTGTTGATGATGAATGGTGCAAAGCAGAGAATGGGAGATTCACTCACCACGTGATGAGATGAATCACTGAACACGGAGGTAGCGTGTGGCAAATCCATCCCAACTACAGTGACTGTTCAATCCACAGCGGGATCATTTGGAAATGTTTATCCTTCTTCTTCCTTTTTTTGTTCTTATAATAGTGAGGCACCAAGCCCAACTTCCTTTTTGGGGTCAGGCCCGCCTCCGTGTGGCCCTTTGTGCCCTCTGGAAGTGCACATGGGTGTGTTTGGAGAGCTCTCACGGGTTATGTCATTTTTCAAACAGGATGGGGAAAAGTCTAATTCTTGTGCTAAACACAGAGTCCTTCCGTTCTTTGTGCGAAGGGGCAGGGCAGAATTAGGAAAAGGGTCTTTCAGTATTGCTACAGCTAGCCCGGATCCACCCCATTCTTTGGCACAACACAAGGCCTAGCCTGAACTGGAACCACTGTTGTTCTATTGCCTGTGAAAAGGGGCAGGATTTAGGCAACACATGCAAACTCCTGTACATGAAAGACCAGCTCCATGGAGTCCCCTTGTGCAGCTGCACTCAACAGCATGTTGGGGTGAGGCAAGACCAGTGCTTCTGCTTCGTGAATCCACTGGGCATTGACCCACATGCAAAGGGGGACAACAAGACTGCAGGGCCAGTGATTCCAGTACTGCCACTGCAGTAGAAGCCACACAATGGCTCCTTTGCCACTCCAGCACCAGAAGGAAGAGCATGGTTCCTGCTTGGGCCCTGAGAAAAGGATATGGCCCCTTAATCAGCGAAGGCGGAAGAATTCTACTGTCTTAGAACTGTCAGCCAGGGACTCAGGCTACAAAGCCAGCTGGCCTTGTGTAAAGCTATCAAGTCAGGGTTGCCAGCCGTAGCTTTGTGGTTTGGTGCTGCAACAGAATGAGCTCTCTGTAGAAGTCAGTTTGTTTGATTAAGGAATACAGTTCCTCTGTGTGGCTCCGGAGATGGAAAGACAAAACTCAAACTGTTAAAAACCATGAAGTTTTTCAGGCCACAGGAGGCTGGAGTTCCTAGACTTCCCACTTTCAAGTTGTAGGTTAAGCATAATTGTTAGTAAATGATCAGCAATGCCTTTTAAAAGCAAGCAAGTGGAAGGAACTAGGAAGGGATTGTTTATGTATGTACCACTGCACAGCATACAAAATGAATTGAGTGAAGAAAGTGGTTTCATAGAAAATATAACCTCAGTTAACTTTTAACATAAGGGGCAGCTTTGGTGAAGCAGTTTCATTGAGCCATAAAATTCTGCACATCCTTACATGCCAACCTCCATAAAACTACCGGGAATAGGAGGGATGGGAGTAGGATTTGATTTAGCAACATGCTATGCCTCTCCCTCAGCTCCTTCCCATAAATATATCAAGCACACAGGCAGCAAACCAGGGAGCGAAGTAGAGATGGAGACTTTTCACCAGGGCTAAATAAGATTTGGGACATTAAACATTCTAGTGGCTCCCAGAAAAAGACAAAAAGCT